CAACTGCAATAATGTTATCTCAGACAAACAACGACAACCAGAGAGATTACAAATATGATATTTATCAATGTTCAAATGGTTCAAAGATGGATACACATTATGCCCATATTTGCAGATATGTTAATGTTTAAATATAGCTATTTGATATTCTGACCTTGATAGTCTACTACCTAACCAATTCATTGGAACATAATCACTGAACATTGGCCAAACATATCAGTTCTTGGGTACAACGGAAAAACAAAAATGTCCTTATAAATCTACAAAAAAAGAAAAAAAAAAGTTGAAAAACCGGTTTGCGTAACTAAAACATACTCAAACAGATATTGTTTAGCTATATTTCCCGCTGATGCAACCGAAACTTGCAAATCACAATGGTTCATCGTCAACAACGAAAAATAAAATAAAAATAAAGGAAAATCCAGAAGATCAGGCAGACAATGGATGAAGCCCCCCACCCCTCCCCCAGATCCATTACTGACAACCATACTACCAACCAAATCCAATCTGTATGCAAATTGATATCGTCAATCATACTTCTTCAGTCATATTTACAACTTACAGACAGCAAATATTTTACACTGTAAGAGTTGCTGATTTTTTGCCAACTTAGTCTAAACAATTCCAACTGGTTTACAATAACTGATTCAAGATGGCAGCGGCACTTGACAAGATTCTTTGACTGTTGATCGTTGTTGAGCAGTGTGCTTCAGTAATCGCGCTTCCTGATGATCACTGGCCATTTGATGCATAAATTAGCTGATGTCAGAGGTCAATCAGCTGAAATCAGATAGTCCAAAAGTGCAATTCAATGTTGGTTGCATATTCTTCCATCAAATAAACTCGTCTCCAAGAACTGCAGTAAAACAAAAGCCCGTATCGGTGTGACTTTATGAGACTTTAAAACAGTTCCATCTAATTTTCGTCACTTATAATCAACACTATTTCCTGTTCCTAAATGTAGCCCACACTGTGTTGTTTTAATTTTTAAAGGCCAAACTTAATCCCCTTATAGAAGTGTTGCTTTTATATCATCACACCCCGGATGGGACGACAATAAGGCAAAATATTTAGACGTTGTATTACGCAATGGATTCTATCCCAGTGTTCTCCTGCATTACATTTTACTAGTCTTTGGAAGCAAAAAAAAAAAAAAGAACGTCATCAACAACAACAAAAACAACAACAACTAATAACATCAGCATTGTACAGTGTCAAAATGAATGGATATATGGGATATAAGGCGATATTTATCGCTAAATTTATAATCTCTATTTTCATTATTTTTTTTCTTCCTCTCTGTTTTATGAAATTCTCCACTGGTTAACAGACTTTTCAGAGGATATACCGCTGGCTGTCAGCTTATATAATGCTTTCAAAAAATGTTGAACTAAAATTGAATGATATGTGTTTTTAATTTATTCAGATGTATCAACGTCATCAAGTTTCAAAAGACATTTCCTCTGCATTTGCTTCTCCCCCTTCTTGAAAAAAAACTAGCTATTAAACAAGAAAAAAAATTTAATACACCCCCCAGCGCTTACAACCAAACTTTGGGCTAACCAGCCAGACAGCATTATAATATTTAGAATGTAAAACGATAAATACAGCAAAAAAGCAAAAAAATCCCTCTTCATGACGAGCAGAAAATGAATTGTCATTTCTAAAATTCAGTAAATGAAAGTTAATACTAAGTGATAATTTTTTCTCTATTTCTGTTCTACAAATATAATGTTTCAAAAAATTGTCCTAAAATATTTCTTCTAATAGTTATATTTGATTTGAAAAACGCTAAGCTGTTTGGAAAAAACAAAGCTTTTTTTATCCCTTTAACAACAACCCATTAATTGTGTTGTCGTTGTCGCGGGTTTTTTTTTTTTATTTTTGTTGCTGTTGACAATACCCAACAGTTTGAAATTAAAAAATAAGAAACTATATAAATGGGAGAAGTTTGAAAAAAAATTAATATCAATTATAAAACATTTAAACTTAACCATTTAAATCAGCAAAAAAAAAAAAAAAACAAAAAAAACCCTTATCATTTTTTAGCCATTTTTAAATTGCACAGATACACTGAACTATCAAATGGCAACTTTTTCCAATGTCTTTAACAGCTTTTTTTCTACCATTCTTTTATCATTATGAAGTAAACTGTGTTCTATTAAAACTGAACAGTAAATTGTTGTAACAGTGCAAAAAAAAGAGCAAACGAAAAAAAAAAAGATTAAAAGATTATAATAATACAGATAAAATTTTTTTTTATTTTTGCTTTTTAATTTGCTATTTTCTGCAAAAATATTGAAATTTAAATGAGAAAAAATTTGTTGAAGCACCAATTTTCTTCATCAATAATCTTCAGCGATTGTTAATTCAACTGGTAATGCGCAAAACATTAAATGTATATGGGCCATTCCACGCCAAATCGCACAACTTTGA